AATATTTTTATTTTCATTCCATCTTTTTGTTATCTCTAATCCTAAAGGGCCTGATAATTTATGAAATAATTTTTTACATAATTCTTGATTAAAAGTATTTCCTGAGATAGCTTAAAAGAAAAAAAAAAATCTGAGCTCGTGAGCCGAAGCTCGGCTCAACCCAAGAGCCACAAGCTCGGCTCGTCTTCTTCTTTTCCTTTATGAGACAGAACAGCCATATGAGCAAAGTGTACAACCAATAACTGCTTCAATTAGTAACCGCAGCAGGTCATAGGTAGGCCAGCCCCACTCCTTAAAACTCAAAAAACGAAAGTTGTCTAATCTCCACTCAAAACAACCCGCCCTTCCTTCTTAAGACCTTCCACCCAACCCCACCCCACGAAAATATGTATACTACATATTCATTTATATTTGGGTCCTTGTCTTCTGTAAATATGATGATTATCGTGTTAATTCTGGCACTGTTTGTGTCAAGAATTGAAGCATCAACACAAGAGATTTCGTCTCATTTTTCGTTTGGATCTCGATCCATTCTGCGATCAGTTAACGATGCTAACAAAAATGGAGCTGAAAAGCCTGACTATGCTGTGGATTTAAACGCCACGAATTTCGATTCTGTGCTTAAGGAGACCCCCACCACTTATGCTATTGTTGAATTTTTTGCCCACTGGTCAGTTACCTTTTCTTTTTTTTCCAAAAAATAGTCCATTTTTGTAATTTGATAGATGCACCTGTTTTTGTTTTTCAAATGAAGATCTCTTTTTGATGAATAAAAGGGATTTGAAACGAATGGCTCTGTTGTTTGTTTGGTGATAGATTAGCATATATTAGAGTTTTAAAAATATTTGAACTTCAGAGGTGTTTAAATGGTTTAGGATTGATAAATTATTCCAATCACGTGATATAATCAGCTTTTAGTTAAAGTATTCTTGGGAAAACAATTTCTTTGAACTACTGATGCTGGGTTCTCTATTTTTTTCTTTTTTCCCCATTGTCTTATAAATATTAGTGTCTGAGAAAGTTATGTCCATGACTATATTTTGAGTGAACAAATCTCGTGATTTATAACTACTTTACAGAAATATTCATGTCATAAGACATCAGAGTTTCGCATGGGTTACCAGAATTATTACTAAAAAGAGGTCTTATCTGGAAATAAAATTTGGTAATAAGTTCTTGCGAGGGTTGTAGTTCTATGCTATGCACTTGATTTATAGCTTGAAGAAAAAAGTTAGACGATCCTTCCAAATTTTTCGACTAATACTTGCAATTTTGGAGTAACACTATATGCTACGAACAAAGACATCAAAACAATTGTCCATATCAGATTGAATGTTTACAAGTACGAATGATAATAAGCAGCAAGAGATTAATTGCCAAATGTTTTATTTTTGACAATTATTCAATGAGATCTTAAAAAGTTAAATGACCCCAAATGAATGATGCTAGGGTGTTATGGTGCGTATTTATTAGAATAATCAGATATTGAATATTTTATGAATTAAAGAGGTATTGAAATAACAGGTCATACTACAAACTTTCGGGAGAGGGTGATGACTATAAATTAAGGTTTAATTATAAGTTCTCATAGAACCAGTTACTTTATGTGAAGGAGATCTATGTGGAAGATATTTACATGCTTAGGAGATTGATGGACAAATATTAAGGTTTGCCAAGGATTGCTATGATAGGTGCTATAGAGAAAAAGAAATTCGTACAAGATATATCAATATTATTAAAGATATGTAATGGAACACTTACGAGTTTGATATGTACTGGCACTAGTAGTAGAGAATTTCCTAACAATTAGCTCGTATCAAGGTCTACCCTAGTCTTTATCTCCTTGCTTTTCTTTGATAAACTCATAGGACATATTCAAGATGAGGAGCTTTTGTTTTTGTTATTCACTGATGACATAGTATTTAATAAATGGTACTATGTGGCGGTTAAATTATAACTTAAACTTGGAGTACTTTGAAATTCAAATGTTTTAGGTTTAGAATTCACACAGAGTACATGGATGGACTATCCTTCAAGATAAATATTTTAAAAGCTTAAGATGTATAGTAGAATGACATGAATGTATTGAATTTGATGATTACAAATAAGCATAACCCTTTTTATATATAAAGGAGAGATAATCTCCTAATCCTAGTAGACTAAGAAAAGAAATCAATCTCCTAAGAAAAGAAAACTAATAACCTACTCTTAAATGAAGTAGCCTATAAAACAAATAATACTAGAATCCTTGAAAAACTAAGAATCCTGATAGGCTGTCCGATATCAATGATTGTTTTCAGTATGGCGAATTTGAAGAGAATGTAATGCATAATATTAGAGCAGGTGGATGAAATGGTCAAGTGATATAAAAATTTCTAGGTGATGGAAAGATCTATAAAAGCTTAAAGGCAAGTGTTAGGAATAATTTTTTAGATCTGCTATGATTTATGGTGCTAAATGTGAAATTGTTAAAAAAAATAAAATGTTTGTAAGATGAATGTTGCGAAAATGAGCATGTCAAAATGGATGTTGACCCTACTGGAGTCTGGAGTGGACCAAATAGGAAATTAAAATCTACACCAACAAGCAAAGATGACACCGATGGAGGATAGTTGTGGTTTGGCATGTCTATATTTCACTGAAGTGATGTGATAGTATTAGTGGGATAGAAGTGTATTAATTTTGCTTTCAGATGTTATATATTTGCGGTATGAGAATAAATTCTATTTTTCAAGTTTTCGAGTGTTGAATTCTAAAGTGTTTGGAATGTATTTGGGCAGTGTGAGTGTGTGACAAGTGTAAAAAAATGTTGACTTCATCTCGTTTACATTGTCGTGGTTGTAGGGATTGTAGTCCATGTCTTAGATTGTTTCTAGAGTGCTTCCATCTGGTTCATGCGCGATGCCCGATGCTTCCTTGAGTTGTGATTCTTAGTTTACACTTGCAATATTAAACAATGAATAGATTCACATTTCTATGAAGTAATTCAAGTTTTCTTCTTTGCTTTCACTGCATGTGATTTACAGTCTAAGAAACACAAATACTTGGAAGTTTATTACGTATCCATATATGTTACGTATCAAAGATTGGATACCCTTCGATACGTATTGGATACATTTTTTTAAAATTATTTTATATAATTTTAAACACAATTAGTTTATTAAGAAAATTATATCTCTATATGAAAGGAGAATCCAAAATGTAGGACATTGCTTGAGACTCATTTGATACTCTTGAAGGTGTGGGATTGCTTGTGGTAGCTAATCTAACAAAGTTGGAAAGTGTTTTTTAATGATAATGAAGAAGCCGATGTTCATGATAATGAAGAAAATGAAGTTTGGATAATTAAGGATTAAGATAAAATGTTTTAATGTTTTATTTTATTTTTATTAATATGCTTATATTTTAATTTTTTTATATTATTGAAATTATGTTGAATTTTATGACACGTATCCACGCTTCCTTTTTTTTTTTTAAAGTCGTATCAATGTATCCGTATCGTATTATATTCAAATTACATATCCGTATCCGTGCTTCTTAGTTTGCAGCTATAAATAATCAACTTTCAACCTGCACTTTTTATAAAAATTGATTGAATTTAAGTTAGAAACTCATGAAGACACAATTAATAATTTGATAAACATGCATGAGCATATGCTAATACATGGTGGCATTTTTAAATTTTATGGTTGAGACATGTTTAATTAGCTCAGTACAGCCTTTAAGGATTATAAAGGAATGCCTATTTAGCTGCATTTTATGACGCAGCGCATATAGTATTCAACATTCTACAAATTGAAAGCTCTATTATAAAGAATGAAAAGGCATGAAGTTGACTTTTCTCTGTGTTTGTAAATTCTTATGTATGTCTATATTTGTATTTGCATATATTTATGTAATTATATAGGAGTCTATATTAGTTGTTGATTTGTGACATGCGATTTAAGTTTGGAGTTTGCCTTGAATATTGTATACTGAAATCTATGATACTATTCTAATTATACTTTCTCTAATTGGCTTTGAAGGTGCCCGGCTTGCAGAAACTACAAGGTATATTCTGATTCATCTTATATTGTTATTTGCTATCTCATAATTATGTTTCTCACAGAGAAATATACAATTTGTCAGCCACATTATGAGAAGGTTGCAAGGCTTTTTAATGGAGCTGATGCTGTCTATCCAGGAATCATATTGATGGCCAGAGTAGATTGTGCCTCAAAGGTAGTCATGCCATACTGCTACATTTCCCTACTTGTTTTTATGAGAAGAGTAGATTGAACAATATTTCTAAGCTGCTGTTCTTCACTTATTCAAAGAGCATTATGTAAAACAAATATTCAGCTTCTCAATGCTGTTATTTATGTAAATGGGATTCTTCTCAACAGAAACTCCGTAAAAAATATTGTGTTTACAATAGTTCAATTAGTTGTTCAAATAGCTGAACATTTTAAGATACTATAAGTAGAGTAATGATATACAAACAAAAGAATATAAAAAGTTTCTTCACATGAGTGATGGAAGACTAAGCAACTTTCATTTGGCAAGCAGATAATTGTCTTGATCTATTCTTTAGGACCAGTATAATATATGTTATTGGTTCCATTCTACCTATTGCTGCAGTATGCATCGAGAGTTTTTGCCACACAACTAAAGAATTTGTCAATTAGGGAAAATATTGATAAGTATAGATCAATATATCTAAAGAAACAAAATATTCTTCTGAAATTTCCATTTCTTTTAAGCAATTTAGAGTACACTTCTCTTTTTGACGCTTCTCACTATGGGCATGTTTGTTAGAGGGACCTAAAAGTTTCATTTTATAACCTATCGAAGTGGTTGAACAACAATAGTAGATATTTTTTGTGTGCTCGTGAACAAAAGAAATGAATATACTGACTATTTTCTTAATAGACTGGAATAGAGATAATTACTACTCTTGAGATGAAAAAATTGTATTTATACCCTTTTGAAGTGGTTAAAAGTCAAAAGGAATTAGATATGTTTTGTGAGAGCGAGAGAAAGGGATTTACTGAAAACTTTCTTGATTGCATAGGCTAGAGCTTACTGACCTTGAGGTGACATGTTGCTGCAATTCTAAGCTAGTGTTCCATTGCATCTTTTATTCATATAGTCTTATCAGTCTTATTCTTTATTTCTAACGTCACTTTTATTCTTAACATTTATCAGAATAAATGATGTTGGTTTTTCATCCATTTTATTTAATTTCTGTATTTTTCTTTGTTTGAAATCTCTTCACTAAATTATAGCTTAGTGATGGTTCTCCTTTTTACTTGCTTGGCAGCACAGATAAATACCAATCTTTGTGATAAGTTCTCTGTTGGACACTATCCTATGCTTCTTTGGGGCCCACCTTCTAAGTTTGTATCTGGGAGTTGGGATCCAAAGCAAGAAAATAGAGAAATACATTCTATTGATGATGGACGGACTGCTGATCGCTTGCTAAACTGGATAAATAAGCAAATGGGCAGGTATAGAACATATCTATAATTTGCTTGTACCTGTTCTATGAGTGCAAGTCTCTCCTAATGATCATATCTTTTGCATGCTCATGTTTAAAGATGGCCTCTTGAGATGCATGAATAGTTGCACAATTAAAGGCACTGTTCTATTTGTTCTATTTTCTAGTAAATTCTTGTTGGGCACTGTACATTCCTAGGTCTATATTTGGAACCAGCATTGGCGTTGGCATTAACATTTTATTTTATTTTTTTCCTTATCCTTTTTTTTCCCCTACCCTTTATATGTTACAGCTCATATGGCTTGGATGACGAGAAATATGAGAATGAGTATTTTCACACAAATATGTCTGACCCTGGACAGGTACTTAAGAGTGCATGTATTGAATTCTTAAGCAATTTTATAAATTCACTCTCATTAATATCTATCATTCTGACTTTATTATACTTTTTGTGGAGAAAGATTGCGCGTGCTGTATATGATGTTGAGGAAGCTACATCCGCTTCCTTTGATATCATTTTAGGGCACAAGGTGACTATCCGTATATATTTTAATTTCTTTTTCTGTTCAATATTATTGCTTTCATATTTTTTGGTTTTAAAGCTTGCTTCACTTACCTTTTCTATTTATTAATCTTGAGCAGATGATTAAATCAGAGACCCGTGCACCACTTATTAAATTTCTTCAGCTTTTGGTGGTCCATCACCCATCAAAAAGGTTTGGCGCCTACTCTCTTTTGTCTATTATTGATTGTTTGCTTTTATCTTCATCATTTTGAATTTTGGTATTGTTTATTAGGTGCCGGAAGGGAACTGCAGAAATACTTGTAGATTTTGATGATTTGTCGACCAACAAGATGGAAGTTGCCAATCTTAGCCAAAAAGGTGTACTTGGGAATTATCAGATTTGTGGAAAAGAAATTCCTCGTGGATATTGGGTGTGTATATATCAGTTATCAATTACCCATTTCCAAGTCTTCTACATTCCACTAAGAAAAAAGTTTTTACTCTTATTAGTATTGTTCCTCCCACTATTGAATTTGAACACGTAGTTTGTCACAAAAAAAAATAAATAAATAATATCAAAAGTATTTTCCGGAGGAGGGGGGTGGACACAAAGAAAAGAATCAAAAGCAGAAAACCCCTGGATTTCCATTGAATACTTGTCATCATTGAGCAATTAGTAAAAGATTATTAAGTTATTGGCTGATTGTGGCTAGTTGCCTTATTAAAGTGAAATAACAAGCTATTCATTTTGGAGTTCTGTGTCCCTGATATTTCTTAGGATCCATGGTTACTTATTAAACAATGACGCACTCGAGTATTTGATAACTGAAGGGAAGAGTATTCTTTGACCTTGTTATTTACGTTGCATGAATGCCAAGCAATCACATGCTTAAGAATTTTAATTCCACCTTTGTCTCGTGTTTGTCTATCAAAACATAATACCACCGTGCTATGTTTAGCTGAAATATCATTACCGTGATGAGTAAATTAGTTAGCTTCTGATCTTTCAAATATGGCTATGGATTTTCTTTTGTAGATGTTTTGTCGTGGCAGCAAGACGGAGACTAGAGGTTTTAGGTAAGGCACATTCATCTTTCATTCTTCAAATATATGCTCTATTCTTGATTTATTCCTACTACTCAAGTAGGCTTATAACATACTTGGGACTTGGGAGTAAATGTTTACAATTCCATAAAATGTTGTGTGACCATGTTGTACTTGAGATCCTTTACCCTATATTTCACACACAACACAAAAAGTGACCTTGAAATTGAAAAGTGAAATATAATATGCAGGCACTGAATTCTATTTAAATTGATTAAGAAAGGAATTCTTGAAGTTTTAAGCTGCAATTCATCTATCCACTGTGAGTTTCATCATCTTGGAGAAAACGCAAGTGATTGTTAATAAATATCATTTAGCTTATGGAATGGTAATTTTTGGTATTTCTGTTTACCATCTGCATTTGTAGAAATATTTGTAAGAGACTTGTTCTTTGAAGTCTAAATGGAGGCAGTTAGTAGCTTTAACCAATTCCCCTACAGGACACCTGTTCAACATTATTTTTAAAATAACCTTTTACAGCTACTGAAACTGTTTCAGTAAAGCTTGATTTGGGCTGAGTAGTGTGACTGCACTTTAATTGAGCTGCATATGGCTAAAGTCCTGAGGAACTTCAACATATAAACTTTCTATGTGGATCATACATGAGAGACCTATCTGCATAGACTGCATTTTATTCTTCCGGTGTTGTTTCCTCGCCTTTTTGGTGGCTTTTTACTCATCTGTTTCTGTTCCATACTGTTTATGGTGGTATTAGTGATTTGACAAGGTAGCTCTTTTATTATGGCAGCAAGAATTATTATATAGTTGTCAGTATGACCAACTCTTTAAAAAAAATATAATAAATAATTTCAGCTCAAAAGATCTATTTTAGAACTTGGTTGAACATTGCATCAAGGCAACTACAATTTGGTGACTTTTCTGACGTAGTTTTACTTGTTGAAAAAAGCTAGTTGAGTCTCTTCTAGATGTTTGTACATATCATAAGAAGATTTTGTTCCCACTATTGTATTGAATTTTTTTTTTTTAACAAGCGCGTAATCATTACTTTAGTATTCCTCTGTTCTTTTCAGTTCATTTTAACGTCTGAGAGATTGAACAATTAATAAGTTGTGAGTTGTGCCTGTATGTGCATGAAAATATTTGTTTAGTAAATAGCAATGATTTATGGGAGGATCTGTCTGTTATCCTCTATCTGCACCTTTAAAAAAGCCCTTGCATAAACAAGGATTAAAGTTGGAGATAGCTTTCGACTTATGGTTGGCTAGCTACTTGAACTTAAAAAGTTTGCATGCCCACTTGAATCCTTTGTACCACTGAAGTGAGTCTGTTTAAAGTCATAACTGGTCTTCTGTTTCTTTTTCAGTTGTGGATTGTGGGTTTTATTGCACTCACTTTCTGTGAGAGTTGATGATGGAGAAAGTCACATGGCATTCACCGCTGTATGTGATTTTATTCACAGTTTCTTTATCTGTGAAGAATGCCGGCAGCACTTCTATGACATGTGCTCAAGGTAATTTAATGAAGATTTTAACTCAAATAAATTTTCTGTAGCACATCATCTAAATGGAATTTTCAAATTTGCAGTGTTTCTACCCCTTTCAAGAAATCTCGCGAATTTGTCATCTGGTTATGGAATGCACACAACAAAGTTAATCAGAGATTAATGAAGGAAGAGGCATCCCTCGGAACCGGTGATCATAAATTTCCAAAAGTTATCTGGCCTCCTAAACAGCTTTGTCCTTCTTGCTATCGTAGTCAAATCTCGAAAGATAATCATATCGATTGGGATCATGATGAGGTTTTTAAGTTCTTGAGCAACTATTACGGGAAGACGTTGATCTCTCTGTACAAGGACAAGGAACGTCTTGGGGATGCACAGACGGGTGGAGTTGTAGAAGATTTATTAGCAAATTCAACAAACGCTGTTGTGGTGCCTGTCGGAGCAGCATTGGCAATTGCTGTTTCAAGCTGTGCATTCGGAGCGCTGGCCTGCTACTGGAGGCAACAGCAGAAGAGTCGGAAGTATAAATACCACCTACACTCCTTAAAAAATATATGACTGTAGAGGGGTAATAGGCTTATTCATTATTTATTTAAAGGGACTAAAAAATTAGGAAAAAGGCGGAAAAATAAAATAAAATTACGAATAATATGCAAGAGGATATAGGTGTTTGTGTTTTGAGGAAATTGATGTTCTTATGTATTTTTTTCTTGACACCAACATTTCAGGCCAAGAAGAAGCTGGAACTGAACTTGTTAACAGGAGAGATCTGTGCATGAGCATGAGCATGAGCATGAGCATGAGCATGAGCATGAGTTAAAAAAAGTGAAATCATGCCCTGTACTGGAAACAAGTTGAAAAACTGGAGAGGATAATTTTCCACACATTTCTTCTGGGGTTTCTCTTTTAGATTGTATAGATTTTGCTATTAAATACTTGAAAGAGTTGAGTTATGATCATCTAGATTTTGATTTGAACTTCGATTTTTTCCCATGTATTTGAATTTTTTAGGTGAATTAGATCTTGTTTCACACAAAATTAAATGTACAAACTATTTGCATGCAATCGTCATGTAATTCTACCGTAAAATCTTAATGCAACTCCTAAAGTTTGGGTTAATTTTGGATGCTTTTCATGTACAGACCTCAAACTTCATGTGTCGTAAGGCATTTATATATTTTATTAACATTATTTTAACTATTTAAGACAATTAATAATTATTCTAATAAGATCTTTTTATTAATTAATCTATGTGACCTTTAAAAAAAATGGAAATTTGGACCAAAAAAAAAAGTACGCACATTTTGCCTTCTAGACTCACATTTGCCTGTTTGATTCTCATTATTGTAGAATAAAAATGAAAAATATAGTCGTTATTGAGCCTCACACAAAAGATGGAAATTCAAATTGATGGTTTGATATGATGAATAACGGTCATATTTTTCATTTTTATGGATGAAAAATGAAAAACAAACGGAGGTTTAGTTGTTTTAGTATGAAGTAATCAAAAATAGAGTGGACCATCTTTTCACATGATTTTTTTTTTTTTTTGGGTGGGGTTCTGAATCAATAACAAGAATTGAAGCCAAAAATTTTTGGATAATAGTTTTGACTGATTAAAAGCATCCAAATAAGTGTTTTGACATTATTCACACTATAAATGAACATCAAAAACTGAATTCAAATATATGGAAGTAATTAAGAATAAAATTTCGAGAGAAGATTTATAAAATGTAATTTCTGCAATATATACAGAGATTATGTGGTCTTTTTCTTAGATTAATTGAAATAATGTCATTAATAGTGCTTATTAAATAGTGTTTTTAAGTGCTCATAAATTACGAGTTTAAAAAATGTGATAATAAAAATTAAAATGTAAGTTTGACTGACTTAAGCCCCCTGTTTGTCTACCATTATTTCAAAAAATTATTTTTTACAGTAACATTCTCCATCGCACATTCATCCAATAAAATATTCTACACACAAACCAATAAAATTACTTTAAATTTCAACCACACATTTTTCAAAAAATGTTATGCATTACTCTATTTTTCCCCCAATAATAGGAGACAAATACACCTTAAATTAAAATTTAAGTTTTGCCAAAACATAATTTATACTATTTAATTTTTTTTTAAAGATACTGTTTGGGAGGGATTTAGATTTTTTTACAGTAAATCAATTCTTATTTTCAACCACATATTCTTCAATAAAATAATATTTTCCATCACATCAATATTTTTTATTCTTTTTCAACCACACATTTTCCGTCATATCACTATTCAAAATCAATTCTTCCCCAAAAAATCTCTCCCAAACAAGCTCTTAATAAGATGTCTAGCCCGTTTAAAGGCAGTAATTTCTGAAGCTCATTATCTAAGCAAGCACGTAAAAGGCCCTTCAAGCGAGCCTAATGTGCTCTTACACGACACTTGTAAACCATACAACATAATTTTCACTTAATGTCGCGTTGAGATGTTAGTAATTAAAGTTATGATTGCTTTTTTTTAACTTTTCATTCGACAAGTCGACTCAATTTTACTAGAAATAGTGAAACAAATACAAAAATAAAAAATATTACATATACTTTATAGAGTTAATTTAATCAATGGTCACCAAACTTTGTTATGGTTACTACTTGCTCATCGATCTTTAAAAAACTACTCGTTGCTCACTGAACTTTACTATCTGTTACTGCTTGCTCACTAAAATTTAAAAATTTACTCGTTGCTCACATAAATTTGAACAAAGTTACTGATTACTCATTAAACTTTACTATAGGTAGCAATTATGGAAATGATACGGGTGATTAATAGGCAATTTTATTTAAATTTAGGTGAGTAACGAGTAATTTTTTAAATTTCGATGAGCAAATAGTAACATATAGTAAAATTTTGTGAGCAAAGAGTAACCTTTTGAATTTTGAGCATGTAGTAACCTATAATAAAGTTTAGTGACCATTGATTGAATTAACTCATATTTTATACAACACTTGTAAACTGTTATTTACGTCAGGAAATTAGTAAATAAAATTTCAATCTAACTTCTCCTTCAAAAGCCGCCAAATGATCGCCTTTTGTCTTTTCAATTAACATTTCGACTCATTTTGGAAAATAGTTGAAAAAATACAAAAATCCGACGACGTGCACTTTGTATGATACTTGTAAACTGTTTAATAATAATGTCCTTTACGTCATCGTGTAAAATAAAATCTTGACCTAACTCTCTCATGTAAGTGAACAAATAATCACTTAAAAAAAAAAAAAAAAAGAATACACAGGAGTACAGGACAAACATCATTAGATAATCCACCAAAATAAATAAATAAATAATAAAGAAAATGAAATTATTGGCATATGTATAATGAAGCTTCTCGAGGTCAACAACTACTTTCTTAATAATTCAACTTTCATATTGTTTTCAACTTACGTTTTCAAATACGTTACTTTGACTCAGCAATGGTCAGGAAATGTAAGCAAAGTAAACCAGTAGCTCACCTACAAGACAGAGACACTTACCTCTAATTTACCTAAATTTTCATATACAAAGTGGTATAAAAGTTCTGTACAAATACTTCTCCAAAGGTGCAACAACAAACTTACACCTGAAAATGTACACTTTGGAGGATAACAATGTTTGAAATACAATTGCCCCAGATAAAATAAAGGCATATTTGTTCATAATATGAAATAAAACCACAACATTGTTTACAGCATCTTTGGAGAATTGTGAATTCCTAGCAGCTGTCATGCACAATTCTCTAGCAGCTGTCATGCTTTAATAGCTATCGTGCTAAATGAAGATTCACGAGACGACCTCCATAGAAAGAGAAGTTCGAGTTGCAGCATTGAGAACCACTTAATGAACAGGCATCGCATGAGGCTGATGAAGAGTCAATTGGTCAGCTTCTTCATCCGATGGAGTGATGGATAGATTGGCCTGTTAACGCCCAATGAAGAGATAAAAAAATTTTAGAGTGCAAATTGAAACCACAATTCCACTTGAGAGGAATAAGGAAAAAAGTTCGACAGATCTACTTCATTCACCTGTTGTCGATGACGTATGATAGAAGTCGCGGCTTTCAGTATTATGCAGATTGGAAGAATAATCCCAGCAATTCTTAGCATTAATAGCTGTCATATGCAAAAAGAAAAATAAGAACGTTCATGGATAAAATTTAGACTTAGCATTTTCGATTAGCTAGTATCTTACCACAATCAATGGGAAAGAATAGTTCTCTGCTCGACTAACAATGATGGGAAGAGTATGCCTCAAAATCAGAAGGATCATAAACTGCAGAGAAGAAAACAAAGTCAGAAGCAAGTATTGTTAGTTACTCAGCCTCAAAATTAATAATTGTGATGATTATTATACCAAATTTATCTTTAATAATTTCTTCGAAAGTTTAAAATAAGTAAACAAACTTAGGCCAATGTGATAAAAGAAATTCATTTGCAATATCAGTGAGCAAGTTCATCAATCCATTAAGTTTGTTTTATATTTGATATTTCACATCTTTCATCAGTATGAACCTCAAACCAATTAAAGGCGTATAATTCTCTCCTATCAATATATTAGATCTAAAATTCCAGTTAAAGATCTTGAATCTGCATCTTTTAGTACTTTCAGTTCTCCTTTTATATTCTGGGAAATATTTCTTAAAAGTTTTTATGGTTTGAAAAAGGTCAAACATACACGAATTGAATGCGCAGAGAGAGAGATAGAGAGAGAGAGTACAATTATGGCAATTGATCGACAGCAGATTATGCTTCTTGTTGTAGAAATTTCATATTCATCATAGTCAGTATCAAGGATATTCTGATCAGTTGAAACCATTGTCACAAGGCGAGGATTAGCCAAGTCTCTTCTGGCTATTTGCCAATTTCCCCTGATAACAATCGTGTCATTTGGTAATGAGAAACTATACATGAATGCATATGTTCCTTTCCCATAATTTGTTATCACAAACAAACAAATACTAGAAAAATTAGAATTGAAGTACCTCAAGTTCATTGGTATTCCGCGAAATCGGAAAATAGGGGGTGGTGCTGTATATCCTGGCTTGAATTGCTGTAATTAGTATATACTTAAATCAGTAAACAACAAAACTTAAAATAAAACGTGAAAGAACTTTACTATTAAAACGAGTGCAAAAACACAATCATAACAAGTAATTGAGCCAAATGTGAAAAACGTTCGAAAATAGTAGCCCACCTGATGGCATATCTCACATACAGTGTCACCCTTCTCATTACACCACCTCTGAACGCATTCCCGGTGAGCATACTGGAAGCAAAGCAGAGACATCACACATGACTTTTTTTTTTTTTAAGTATTATTAGAAAAAGGAAGAAAATAATCTACTTAGTATAAATACTTGGGGAATAAATAAATGAAAAACAGAAGCATCATGCTTCAGAAAAAAATATTCTAGGTCATATTCTACATTGATATAGAGTAGTATTATGTCAATAAAGTCAGATTTCAACAAAGTCAGACTCTGCCAAACAAAACACAAAAATTCAATCTTATCCAAAATTATTTTCCAATCTTTACATTTAAAACAACCTGTTAATTGAAACTAACAGAAAATTCTAAAATACAGTATGTATCACAATCCTGTTTAAGGGTAAACATGAACAGGATGATTTCTTGACTTTCAGGGACAGATGAATAAGACAATTTACATGTCTCTTAGCAATTGAAATGATGTTGATCGCAAATAAGAAACATCAATAGACAATTAGAAGCATAATATGACTAATTATCTGAATTGCAGGAACCAGTATAATAAAACATATAATCATAAAAATCAAATTCATTACAAGAAAGCAATAAAAAGATTGAAGGCCAACCAACCTTCAAGCTACCACAGCAAGAGCAAGGAATCTCCATATTCGAATCAAAATCTTCATCCTGGCATATTCTACACTCAACCAGTTTCCTTGGAGATAAACTAGCTTCACATTCTTTACGAGGTGAGCAATCAATCACTGTTTCATCGATTGCTGCCTGTTTTAAGGATTTTCTGCTTTCGATTGCAGCTTCCAAAGTCGATTCAGTGAGCAGTCGATCAACCAGCAAAACAAAGTGATCTCCCATCGTCCTTCAACAGTACAAGATTATCACGTTATGAAAGTTAAGCCTTAAACAAGCAATCCACCTTTACCAAATTTCCCTGAGAATAATAAAAATAGAGTTAAGTAATATGATCAACAGATAGTGGTGCACAAGCAACAAATATAGACCATGCTAATGTGTTGATAAAAATGGCCTCCATGTTCAATTCTTGCAGCAAAATTCAAAAGTTGAATTTGCAAAGGTCGGGTAGAAAGAAAATGAAAGACTGGTGAACAGAAACTACCTTAAGAACATGTGGTATATCCAAATGACAAAATCAAACAACCGGCAAAAATTAATGAAATTCCAAATATAAAAGACAGGATTCTATTCAAAAAAGGAATAACAATTAAATAGGCAAGAGCTCATAAACAAATTTTACAAGTCAAAAACACTATTGAAGGCTCATCCAAAGAGAAGAAAACAGCAAAAAAACAAAGAAAAGGTCTACCAGAAAGGAGGAATTAGAAGAATTAAGACTGGAGAAGCAAAAATTCAAAAAGTGCATTTGCTTTTCCTCGAGAAACAAAAACAAGAAACACGAAAATGGCAAAAACCCATTTCAAAAAATACTAAAAAAAAAAATTCCAGAAAGCATAAAAGAAAGAACAAGTGAAAGAACCCATCAAACCCAGGCGCAAAAAGAAGAGGGAATTAGACATACCAGAGAGCAAAAAAGTGATCTTTCAGGCAATAAAACGTTAAATGCAAAGAAACATTAAACACAAAGTAGAAGGAATTTAATAGAATATACTTAGAAAGCAAAAGAAGTTTAGAACAGAGACTTACAAGAAGGGGATCGGATATCTGAAAGCTAAGAAATCTCTCATTCTTTTGCAAAAAAACCCAATTTCGGAACCAAGCAAGAGATTGAGTGTCCTTATTGTAAGCACCCAAATTCAAATTCTTTATCAAAATACAAAATACATACAATGTTATGTGATGTATATATACATACACACCCACAAACCAGAAAACCTTTTTCAAGAAAAAACACAAAAAAATTGTCCCGGAATAAAATAGTATCTTGAGCCTTTCAAGCACGTCCCCACTCTTTATAGAGTACTAGAATAGTGACATTTGTGCAATGTACATGCAGCAGTTTTTTTTTCTAGAAAAATAAATTATTTTTATCTTTTTTGTTTTCCATTTTTTAAAGAATCAGTAATCTGTGTGAGATTCTGACGGCAAAGGAACGATTGCTCTCTCCTTTTCAGTTATTTGATGAGATCATTTATAGCCTAAACTTAATTAATTATGAAGTTAGATTATTTAATATCCTACTCTGTTTATTTAATATCTGATGAGTTCCATTAGTTCAACCAAACAAGCTAAAAGTCATTATAATTAATATGTTATTAATTGTTGAGCAATAGTTTCTATGTAATGAACCATTGATTAATAATTTAACTATTTAATGATTTTTAATAATATAGATTAATCACAAATTTGATTATTATTATTATTTTTTTTTTTAACTTTGATATCAACTTTGTTAAAAAAAAAAGTTCAAATTCTTAATTGTTAAATAAATTAAAGAGAGAATTTACCCAAAAATCACAATTAGGAATTTTGACACGTGTGAGGTTACACATGCTAGTTGAGAATTAGAGCTATATTTGAAGTATTCGAAGTCATGTAATTTGCGTACACTCTTTTTTCACTAAGAAAGGAAACGTATCCTTTGGGAATATAATAATTATTAAATCGTCAACATTGATTAAGACAGGGAGAGATTAATTAAATAGCAGCAATATTTATTTAAACCGTGTATATTATCCTAGTAATTTTTTTTTTATAAAAACCCGTTACACTGATAAGTGTATTTTATACACTTATTAGAACTCTAAAATATTGACATTTCTTAATTCTTTTAATGTAATTATAGTCTAATTTATTATATAATGTGTTATTAGGTAAAACTTGATGAATGAAAGTGAAATTCAAAAAAAAAAAAAAGCGAAAAATGGCGAAAGGGGGCAAGATCTAGAGATTGGGGACTAAAGTGTAAATACTCAAAAGTTGTGTCGAAATTCACGATGAAGATTCGAGATTGCTAGGGGTCAATTGGATGCAATTAAGAGTCAAAATGAGTGAAATATGACCAAAATATTTTCAGAGATCAATTTTCAACCGCACATGAATGTTCCAGATTTTCAGCTAGAGATTGACATCCATTTTTGGCCTAATAAACATTCGAATTCGAAAATATCTATTTCGGGTAAAGTTGTAGCTCTTCGAATTATATTGACAACCCAATTTGAATTGCCTAAATAGGATATCGAGAGAGAAAGTTATGATAAAAATACTAAAGAAAGTGCAATGCTGACATTTTTCTGAAAGGTGGCCCCGCCATGGCGCCTAGGCAAATAAATTAAGTTTTAAGACGAACTATTAAATTTAAATTTCTTCGTGATATTCTTTCAAGTTGAGACATGACCTATCGATGGTCAGTTGTAGTTTAATTAAAGAAGTTTGACTATTAATTAATAACTTATTTTCCAGAAAGCTTATACGTGTGCCAATATTTGTTTGGTTGGCTCACTTTGGTGGAGTTTGTTGTGCAAAATGTGGTCTATATTTTTGAGGGTTTGGTTGAAAAGAAAAGTACAACGTCATAGATTTCTCATTGGTTTGGTTGGTAACCTTCTCAAACAATAAGAATCCATTCATATCTCATGCATCGAGTCATGTCAAATACATACTTCTCACATTTTGGAAGCGTTTTTCGGTTTTTGTACAATGAAATATATAGTTAATATCAAATAAGATTGAAAAATGACTCGTATTATGAAATTGTAAAAATTATAGTATTGGAATTTCCGACATAATTGGCTTTGTAGCAATGTGGAGGGGTGGACCCTAAAATATATCTATTTTTTAGGCAATGACTTTTCATTTTCAACCCTACTTGATGTACCGCATCAGGGTGACAAACACCCTGACCGGCCCCTCACATCAGGGGGGTTCCACATTTTTTTTCTTTCAATTTTTTATACATGTGGGGGCCATCATCATGTGAGAGTGTGTCAACTTTTTTGTCAAAATTTTTTTGTACAAGTAGCTTTTTTGTTTCAATTTTGTAGTACTATTTATCTTAGTAGGCAGAATATGTCTGTTTCACACTTAAAAATGTATTATAACTTCATCTCTAGTCGAACCAAAAATAAATGGTAAAGAAAAGAAAATGAAAAAGAAAGGATTTAATTGCCTGTTTGATAGAATTTATTTGGAATAATGAGTTATGAAATAGTATTTTTCGGAGAATGTGTGATTAAAAAATAAGAAAATTTTATTGATTTGCGTGTAGAATATTTTATTGTGTGAACGTGTGGTGAAGAAATAATACTGTAGCAAATAATTAATTTTTTCAAAAGATTGCAAATCGGGCCTAAATATTTTCAAAACGTTTGGTACCTTAGATGGTTGGTACAACATTGACAAAAAATTGTACCATTGATTCTTAACCTACAGCATTTTATAGGTCCCAAGTCTATTTTTCCCAGGCAACAGCGTTTTCAACTCTTCAATTATGTAGTATACAAAAACAATTCATTTTGCCATGAAGAATCGGGATTTTTGTTATAAAGACAATTATATCCTTATTTTTAAATAATAAAAAAGGAAAATATAAATAGATTATAAAAAAAAGTGCAGTATTTTCAAATTTCAATAAATTTTTTGAATAGTCGTATTCTGGATTATCTTCTCACCCCTACATGTTTGCTATGTTCAACCAACTGAATCAAATAGTTGAACAACCAGTTTGGGTTTCCATGTATGATATGCATGGAAGAATCTAAGTTTATATTATTGATTTTGGATTAATTATTCAATATTAGTTAATAATTCAATGATTACTATTATAATATATCTTTTAAGCTCCACGTGGAGATGGATAATAGGTGGATTTTCCTTAATATAGTTGAGTTGGTCGATAGATGATGATACAGATTCTTAGACCTCGATTTTTTTTTTCTAATATAATGAAGCCAAATAATATATCAATGCAAATGAATTTTTTTTTTTTTTATGTATTAATAAATAAGCTACAAATGGCAAGAATCAATAGAGAAGAAAAACTACTAATCAATTATTAAATAAATAAAAAAAATCCAATTTTAGTGATACTTGATAAGTTTGAATTGCACACTTATATAATGCTTCTTTGTGCGCATTTGCTAGTGATCATGAGTCAATTCTACGTTGAACTTGGGTTATTTTCAGGCTAGGAACACCTCAAAGCTTGGGAAACACATTTGGCCGAAAAATGCAAAGAAGATAACAACATCGACATAAGAGTCCAGAGCATTTTACGGATCTCAATTTGGAGTATTCTACATAAAGTCATGCGCCTTTAGATTAACATCGTTGTCCTAAATCTTCTTGCTCAAGAGAGCCATATTTTTGCTTAAGCGAAAATAATCTGAGAGCAACACAAGTTTTGAGATCGCTCAACTAAGCGGGAGATGTTCAAATTTGACTTGTTTTGAGCTGAATAATTTTTTAGCATCTATTTTAGAAGGTTTTTGCACGGGTTAGGGTTTTAAACTCCTCCATATATATACCCCCTACTCCTAGATTCGAAAAGGGAAATACATTCGAACCTAGAGAAAAAGACATCATATTGTCTCGAGAGTAATTTATGTAGAACTCTTGAAGATTAAGCAAGAAGGAAAGACAATAACAAAGCTTGGGATTTCCATATTGCAAGCATGCAAATCGTCTTCATCTTGTTTTCTTTCTCTTCAAAAAACTCGGTAATGTATTCTTATCTTATTATTTTTACAATAATATTTAAATTCTAATTTGCTAGGACGATGGTGTCACTTATACTTTAATTCAACTTTCACCATTTTTTTACTCCAAGTATGATTCGTGATTGAGGGTGTGTTTGATAGATATTATTGATGAAAGAATGTTTTTTAGATAGTGATATGATAAGAAATATATGGTTAAAAAATAAGAAAAAGTTATTGCTGCGATGAAAAATATTATTTTATTGAAAAATGTGTGATTAACAATAAGTTTTGAAGTAATATATTTTGAAAGAATGTGTACCAAACAGAAGCTGAGTATGTGTTATTAATTTTCATGCTTTTTACCGGTAAAGTGATCGAATTGACAACCATACTAAGAGAGACACGTTTAGTTTTTTTTTTTTGCTGTAACAACTAGATTTTCTTTTTGTTTATCATCACCTACTTTTTGTATCAGTAACTTGGTGGATGAAGGCCTTGTCGCCAATGAGTTTAGTTAAGAGGAAGATGGAGAAATATTTGATGGCATGGACATATGACTACAAAAAGTTGTTCATAGAATGTTAACGCTTCCATGACTCCCACAACCTGTTGTGTAACTTACGGTATCGGCTCTGAAATTTTGAATGTCCTGTGCTACATTTTAAAATAATGTATCCTTCATGATGTTAGAAGATATGGGTCATGGGCTACCCATGTGATGATGTTACCCGATCCACAAGTTATTAAAGTGAATTGAAGGGAGTGGCTTGAATATAATTTAAACTCACAACTTCTCTCAACTCCCACCAACTTCCAAACTTTTACGTAATTCTCATAACTTTGTCTTGCACTTAGAAGAGATGGAAAATATAACAATAAAATGGTAAAAATTCGTATGAAAAATATCACAAAATTGTTCTTATTTAAATTTGTCTAGGTCTTGAAAATAAGAATAATGATGTGTTCGGTACACATTGAACAAGGCTACAGAGTTGATTTATTCGTGACTACTAAGAATAAGATTTTACTTGATCATCGAACGAGATACCTAAATACTGAGTGAGTACTGTGCCTAAGTCTCAATTGTACTTCCACTATAATATTGGATGCACGTCCAGTTAGATAAAACGGCATCTAGGCACAAACTCATCCGTCTTGTTATGGTTTTTGTTCGCTGTTTTCCTGTTCATGGTGGATTATGTCACCTTGCCGGCCATGGCTACTAGCGCTATTGTGGGGGTGGTTTTCCTCTTGGATCAGCTCTGAGGCAAGAGATGAAGGTGTCAAATGTCAGCGCCATCTTCTTTCACCATGATTGCACCGTGTTTGTTGCTTTTGCTCCAACTGTCTTGTCAAATGACTATGGTCTGGTTGGTGTAGTCGTAGTGATACTTGATGTTTTGACATGGACATTTGCAGTTCCCATTGGACAAGGGTCGACCTCCACTTCGTCAGACACATTCTACTTGCTTTCACGTAAAGTAAGTAAATTTAAGACTTGCAGACAACTACTTCTTATAGATTCTGAGTGAATAAGAAGAAAAGAAACATAGATACGAAGCCCAGAAAAATAATTAACAAACTTCTCAAATTTAATTGAAAATCTCTATTTATTGAAAAAATATAATTATATCTCTATGAATTTCAACCTTATCAAATGCATAATTAATCCACCAAGAAATTTTTTCAACAACCATAATAATTCTAGAAATATAAATCTAACTTCTAGTTAAATTATCGATTTTTACTATTTGATCTGAAAAAAACCAGCTCTCGACTCATTACTATTCACAACTCAATTCATTATTGATCATAAATAATAAAAATAATACGTAATAAAAAACCTAGTTCATCGCGTTTTATTTTTCTCTCAATTTTATCTAAAAAAAATCTCTATGAGATCGTGCCAATTGTACACCTTAATAATGAATGGGAAAAAATAAAAATTTCTATTTAAAATGTTCAAATACCCTAAAAATTTGTGTATCAAAATTTTGGACTGGACCCATCAAATTCAAAGGCACTCAAAATTGGGGAGACCAGCTCGCTTCTTTTCTGCACCCAGATTTTGCACTTTCAGCATCGAACTTCTTTCCATCTTTCAAGTTAATCCTTGACCTTTCTCCATCTCCCAATTGAATCCTCTACCTTTTCTATTGCTCCAATAGGTCCCCAACTCTCCCGATGCTCGCCTTCTGAATCCATCCTTAAGCCATCTCACAAATAAAAGCAAGTAAAAATAAATTAAACTGTGCAAAGACTATTTGAAGCAAATTGTAAAACTTAAAAGACCCTATGTAAGTGTAAAAACTAAACTTATTGGTGCTCAACGAGGATGTAAGCACTTTTTGCTGAACTTTTAGAAAAATCTAGCGTTCTTTGTCATTGCACTTGTATTTCTTGTTACTTTTGAATCCGCACAACTTGTCGTTGAGATTCATCTCCCTTAACTTCGCCACTTTAGGTCTATGGAATTCTCGGGGAAATTCGGTTTGGAACTTGGATCGAACCTCCTTTTGAAGCGGAGGGTGATCAAATACTCAGAAAGGAAGAATTGCACATAAAATACATCGAGCTCGTTACCTGAATCTTAATTAAATTTATATCGTATCTACATTTTCACAATCATCTGCAGGTTCCTGTCATAATCTAAAAAGACTATTTGTCCAGTGATTACTAGTCGAATTATTGGCAGATTCTGCCATTAACACTTGCTGTTATAATTAAAATATAACTCAAATTAAGCAGTTACAGCTAGTAAGTTGATTTAGTATCATCACAAAAATCTTAGCACTTTCCGAATCAACTTTGTTAGCTGCCTAACTACTTTAGAAAAGTGTAACCAACGGTCCTTAGGATTGGTACATTTGTCCACTTATAAGTGATTATGTGACAAAAAAAGCAGTGAAAAATGTAGTGCCCATTTTCATCCTGCAGATTGAAGCAGCTAGCGAAACGATTAGGGTTGTTCTATTCGTGTTTCAATTTTTAGTTTTGAGTTTTGAATTCATTTTGAGTTTTATGTTTTGAGTATCCATTTTGAGATTGTTGAAAACGCGTTCTTTTTGTCATTTTGAAAAATTGTTTTCAAAAATAAAAAAATAAAGTTTTAGCTTGGTTTTAACTGAAAACAGTCAAAACAATTTTTTTGGCGTTTCTGTTTCCTTTGTAAATTTTAAACTCGTTTTTGAAAATTCGTTTATAAAAATAGGTAAGTAAACGTGTTTTTAATGTTTCCGAAAACTGAAAGGAGTCTGAAAACAGCAAAGAGAACATGCCCTTATATTCTTCATTTTCCCGATTCCTCTTGATAGAATTAACTGCCATTTGTGGAAATATTATTATACCCTATTTCACGCATGTGTTAGATACATGTATTTATGATTTTAAGGAGTGTTCGCGAAGAATGAAACCCCAATCTTTCATTAAGACCATGTTAAATAAAACTACTTATATTGACAAGGAAAAAATTATTGCCAAGATAAGAACTTTACTTATTTCTAAATTATAATTTAATAAAAAAAGAAAAAAAATAATGTATTCTACAACTTGGATGGTTACTTTATCAGTTAAAAGTTAAAACTTTTTATGCTTAGCCAAAACATGCAAAAAAAAAATATAACGTGATTTTATTGCAAAAATTAAATAGAAAACCTAGTTAAATTTATGCATAAAATATACTCACACTCTTTATTTCTTGACAACTAACTACTACTTTCAATTTTACTTGTCTAAACTACTATTTTTATTGACTTTATTGTAAGTATCTTATTTTATGAAAAATACGAAACAAATATTAGGATGTGCTTGATTGCGAGTATGAAATTTGTATGAAAATAAAATAAATTTCAGGCATTTCAATTGCCTAGAAATTATTTGTATGGAAATTATTAATTAAATATGTTTGATTAATTTAGTTTTCAACTTAAAAAAATTATATCTGTCCATTTTTTATTGGTAAGTAGATGAAAGACTGGATATATAAGAGAAAGAAAGAGCGAGTGAATTACCTGAAAAATAAAAACCACGACTTTCTAAAGAAAATATTTTCCTGGTTTTCAAGGAAAATATGATCACGTGACAAAATAAGGAAAATATTTTCCGTAAAAAAAATTATAAATCAAGCAACACAAAAGTAAGAAATTAGGTGAAAAACACATTTTTCATGAAAAATATTGACAATTAAAGGCACCCTTAATGCTTTTATTACTGAAACAATTTCAATCTCTAGATTACTATATGGTCTTGGGTTTACATAGAAAATATTTTAAATCTCGGCTCAAGCGTAAAAATGTAAAGAGTGAAAGGTACTTAAACTGCTAAATGCATAATTTAATCGACATATTCATCGACTACCCCGATTTATTAAGAAATAAAATTTCCCTTGATGAAATGAACATGGGCATACGCATATGTACTATTGTGATCATGCACGAGAATTTATAATTAAAAAATATTAATGATGGAAACCAGCTGGAAGTAGATACAAAAAGACTTATGAATTGTAGTAATTTGCATGGACATATGAAATGAATTATTGTGGAAAATGCTACGTGTCTCAACATTTGTTCCCAACAAATAAAACGATAGATGTTTGTGACACTTGTTATGTATATAACATAGTTTATAACGTTGATTTGGACTAATCTGAACTTTTATACTTTAGTTTATTTGCTATGATAAGATCTTCAAATCAATCAAACCCGCTGCATGATTATGAAGTTCATTCATCATCGAGCAATGGTTTCTTTTTATTAATATCATTTTAAAATAAAAGTTCCATTTCTTCAGGTCAATTCCGTCTGCTCTTGGTTGCATACTTTTTAGGGGTAAATCAGAAGATTTTTCTGTCGATTAAGTGATGAATAATACTGCTAGGTTTTTGTTTTGATTATGTGTACTAAGTTTGCAGATGGCAGCATGTGATTGACAATCAAATTCTTAATCACTGCCAACTTTATCTGACTCTAAAAGGCACAGATTCCGTATCCCACAAATACTCCCATATTTTTAGCAGTATAAATATAGACATTATTGTAAGGTTGGGACACTTGTAAAAGGAAATGAGAATAGCCATGAGAAAGCGGCTCAAGATTTATACAGTAGACATCTGGTCTTTGATTCCATGGGGAAATACCAGACATGGCTGATATTCGGCTCAGCAGTTTTTGACCATCTCCTAGCTATCTCTATAAACAAGAATATATAACATTTGTAATTGCATCAAGTGATCACATATGGCTTCTATTTCACTCAATGTTTGCAGGTTACGCCGTCCGTGTTTTTCTAGGGTTAGGTCACAAATGAATCCTCGAGCTACGTCTCAAAGCTTCCGTGATGATCAAGGTACTTCCAAACTTTTACGCTTAATTTGATGGCTCTCCATATAAATTATTTGGACTTGGATTATTTCTTAAAATATCATTTTACCATTAATAGAAACTACTAAATATTTCTGATTTTCTTACCATATTGAGCCTTCTAAACAAAATTTCAAGTGTGTGCGTGTGCGCGTGTTGAGTACAAGACTCGGATGCTAAATTTTAGTTTCTGGAATACAGGAAACTCTGCAAGTTTGGTGGACTCAAACTTGAGTATTTTGAAATACAGAATGGAGCAAGTTCGGACCAGGGAAAGGTTAAATGCTTGTTATCTGCATGGAAATGGATGGAATTATAATTCTGGGTACAACAGCAAAATCAAGAGACAAGAAATGTTATTGCAGTCTATTGAGCTACTAGGTATAGTTTCTAGCTCAATAGGACTCGTATTTCTAAGTGGTTCTCTCTTCATTTTCCTTGTTTCCTTGTGTTTCTAAGTGGTTCTCTCTTCTGCCTTCTCCCTCGTACTTATTTCATCTTTTGTGTCTATATACCTTTAGTTTCTGGTTCTTGTCGTCTCTTAGTTAAGAAGTGCTTGTAAGCTTAGTGTGATTCTTCACTTGGGTGTGGAGATTTGAGTGGAAGAGACAGCCTTGTGTTCATGCTTTGACCTAGTATCTTGAAGACTATCCTGGGGAAAATCTGGTGCCTTATTATACTTACAGCTTGCATGTAAGATATATTGTGGCCGTTACGTTTGGATAAGAATCGAATTAAAATAATTAATTTTAACAGTACATTTCATGAGATTCATAATTTTTATCAAAATTTACCAAAAATCTGATTTTAATCTACATCCAACCGAGGTTTAGTCTATTTTTGACATGTGCCCATGTTGACACAGCACGGTCTCTTAGTTAAGCAATGTTTGGTGAGTAAGTACAACAAAACAAGTCGAGTTAGATCGAGCTAGTTGCCTTATTCTTAAGCCCTTGTTTTGTAGAGATCTTTTGAAAATACATTTGTGAACTGTGATTTTCTTTAGAATGTATGATTAAAAAGTAGGAAAAATGTTAATAAGTGCTGCAAATTATTATATTGAAAGAATATGGAAATAAAAAATGAATTTTCAAAAATAGTGACCAAACAGGGACTAAAGAAATGACTTTTACAAGTAGTATAGAAAATATCATAGCTATATTTTCCCATAGTGTCATGTAAAATGGAGTAGGACAACAAGTCTTTGTTTGGCTTCTATACCTTAAAATTTATTTTTAAATCACACATTTTAAGGAATCCATAACTTTTATCAACTTTTTAGTCACACATTTCATTAACTTTTATCAAAATTTACCAATAAATAATTTTATTCAAACCAAACAAGGGATAAATCAGCAGGCCTTGTCATAGTCTAAAAAGGCTAGTTGTCACTACTAGTAATGGTAACGATTGACATATTATACCATGAATTTTACTAGAAAAACAATACCATGAGTTTTTTTTTGATAGATATACACTCGACAAATTTTCATTGACAATTAAAAAAAAAATTCAAACAAAAAATTGACAATCAAAAACGGTCGAGTCAGTCCGAAAAAGGTCCTGTCATTGAGCTCGTTTCTTCAGCTTTTTCCTTGCTGTTATACTTAAATTCTATACACATGTAATTGCACAACTCAAAGCAATTACACCGATAATAAGTTGAATTTGTATCCATTCAAATCAACTTTGTTAGCTGCCCTACTTAGAAAAGTGCAACGAAAAGTCCTCCGGATAAGGATTTGTACATTTGTCCACTTATAAGTGATTATGCGTGAAATAAATAAATATAGTGCCCATTTGTGAAGACACTACAAAAGTTCAGGAACGACTTTTCTGTTGATGAAGCCACGAAATTCATCGCTAAAGATTGATGCAAACAAGATATTAATTTTATTGGTAATTTTTATTCATGAATTTTCCGTAGGTAAAAGCGTATGTAGTTTCACAAAAAAATGTTTCCAAACTGTAGGTGAATAACAAACAGATTTACCAACAAAAATTCCTTGAGTGTGTGAGTAAAATATTTTTCCATTGTTGACATGAACGTGGGCATATGCATGCTATTATCATCATGCACGAGAATTTTATTTTGAAAATAATAATTAATGATGGAGACTGCAGGAAATAAATATAAAAGAACTACGTGATTTGCGTGGAAATATGAGATGAATTACCGGGGAAAATCTGCAAGATTTTGAAGTTCGTTCGTTCATTCATTCATTCATTCATGTCATTTTAATATAAAAGTTCCATTGTTTGAGAACAAATCTGTCAGCTGTTGGGTGCATTATTTTATTCATTCAGGTGTAACGTTTTGCTGAAAATCTGATTTCCTAAACAAAAATACTTTTCTGCACTCCGTTCTTCCTTTTGTTTTCTTTCTTTTTTTCCTTTTGGGCGGTCTGTTTGTGGGATGTGCGGTTATAAGTGAATTTTTTAAACTTAGTTATATATATGTGTGTGAAATAGAATATTTAATTTGTTAACGAGTTATTTGTGCATCATGAATATGAATAAAATAAATATGTAATAGTTGCAGAGTTTTAAACTAAATTTGAATTATTGAACATTGGACTTGGGTTGAAAATGAAGTTAGTTGAGCTAAAATTAATTTTTGGTCTGGACTAATTTTATTCTTTTCAATATTCACCATGAATTTGTTTCTAGGCTGAGGGTAGGGTTGGGCTATAGCCCATCTCGACCCCCCTCTCCTTCCGCTGCGGCTTTCAATGTGTTAAGGTTTGTAGGCGAAATGGAGCGAAGACAAGCTCCTTCAGATAAATGATTTTCATTTATTTTGTATTTGGTCTATTCAAACAATGAATTGAGACGTCAATGAATGAATTATTTCTACAAAATTAAGTTGTTTCAGAGGTTTTTATTCCTTGAAAATCCGTGGAGGAGAAGACTTTTCCAACCAGCCTATTCTTCTTTTAATTTTCATACTAAGGCCCTGTTTGGGAGAGATTAAATTTTTCTACAGTAAATCAATTCTCATTTTCAACCACACATTTTTCAATAAAATAATATTTTCCATCACATCAATAACTTTTTCTTCTTTTTCAACCACACATTTTCCATCATATCACTATTCAAAATCAATTCTTCCCCCAAAAATCTCTCCCAAGCAAGCTCTAAAAATTTTACTTGCCGCATACTTTGACCAGGCAACGACTCACGATATTAATAACATGTTTGGCTGAGCTTATAATCATCTTATTTAATTTACANTTTATTGTATTTTTCCTATTTTCACTTTATTTTCTTTGAGATATGCTTGGTGTACATAATTTATGTACATAGTGGTATACATAACACTCACATAGGTAGGGTCCACTCTAATAAAATATTCGAGTGGACCCCATCCCCTTGTGAGTGTTATGTACATCTCTATGTACAATCATTATGTACATGTAGACTTATTCATACGGGCAAATATTTTTACGAAATTTCCACAACAATATTCTACTAGAGAACAAAGTTTTATTACATACTAAGCTGCCTTTAATCGATAGAACGAGCAGAAAACACACACATATAAGCTCATTTTCCAGCCTTCTCTCCAACATGCAATCCAGCAAAATATCGTTGAGGATTGCGTACAAATTCTAGCCTGGAAATAGTAGCTCCTCTATTGGAATATTCCAATATTAGATCCCTCTTCTAGATTTTTCTCATATTTGTTATTAGATACTTCGTCTAGATTCTTCCCTTGTTTGTTATTTAGTTAGTTAATTTGTTAGAAATTTACTCTATAAATAAAGCAATGTATTCACAATATTACTTGAGTTTGATGATTAATAAATTGTTCTTCTTATCAAGTTCCTTCAATATGTTTTTATATTGAATCTATCCTTTAATTTCTTAACATGGTATCAGAGCTCATTAAACTTTAACAAGCAATTCGATCATGTTAAAACTCCAAAAGTTAGCATACGACTTTCAAGATTGATCTGTTCAAACGAAACGCCATTTTGCGGGGCATGTTAAGGGATAGAATTCCCAATTGAATAAAAATGTAAATATAAACCAACTTATAAATGATTTGGTTAACAAAGTTGACCTTTTAAAATTAAATCCAAATTCTTAACATCCTCCACCACCAGGTGCTTTCATCATCCCTGAACCGGAGCCAATGCCTTCGCTTCCTTTCGCAGAACCACCTCCACCTGCTGAACTAGATCGTCTCCTTCCTTCCTTACCGGCACCAACTCCCCCTCCCCCTCCCCTTTTCCTTCACCTCTTCCACCAGCTTCACCACCTTCTCCTGCCATTTTGTTTAGTGTACTAAGAGCTTGTTTGGGAGAGATTTTTGGGAGATGAATTGATTTTGAATAGTGATATGATGGGAAATGTGTGGTTGAAAAAGAAGAAAAAATTATTGATGTGATGGAAAATATTATTTTATTGAAGAATATGTGGTTAAAACTGAGAATTGATTTACTGTAGAAAAATTTAATTCATCCCAAACAGGGCCTAAATGTTGGATTTTTACTGAAAAATGAAAGAAAAGAAGCGGATCAACACAATTTATAGGAGGGCTAACTGGATAATATCGCATCAAACTACGAGCCTTCAACTACTTGAATATACGCGTTCATATGTAGGGATGGCAACAAGACGGGTTCGGGGCGGGGCACCCCCATCCTGCCCCGTCCCGCCACTCCCCCGCTTCGCCCCGCGTAAACAGTTCACGGGGCGAGTTCGAGATGGGGCATCTCCGCCCCGCCCCACGACCAGAGACGGGGCGGCCCACCTTGCCCCGCCTTGCCTCGCCAACCCACTCGGGGCGGTTTTTTTCGCCCCATTAGGGGCGGGGCACCGTCGGGACGNGGGCGAGTTCGGGGTGGGGCATCTCCGCCCCACGACCCGAGACGGGGCGGCCCTCCTTGCCCCGCCCCGCCACGCCACGCCACGCCACGCCAACCCGCTCGGGCGGTTTTTTTCGCCCCATTCGGGACAGGGCACCGTCGGGGCGGGACGGTTTTTTTTGCCATCTCTATTCATATGCATGGCTTGAATGTCGTGTACCTCTCAATCCGATGACACGGGGACAATTAATTCAATTAAATTTGTAATGTGAATTCCGAGACACAATTGGCCGTTTGGCTTTGGATTTATGTTAGACGGACACTGATCAACTTTTGGTCAAATGTTTGTAATTTGAACAGTTGACTGATTCCACAAAAGTCCACTGAATTGAATTACTTTTCGTGCACTTTGGTCAAATGTATGGTTTCCCAATACAAAAAAGCCACGGGCAGAAAGAGTTCACCAGAAATCTCAGGGTGGGTCCCACTGTAAATAAAATATTGCAAAAATGGCGGGCCCAACCCGCTGTGTCTTTTCTGATGTGCTTTTGTGGTGTACAATTTCTGTGCACCCAGCAAAATTGTTCCCAATATTAATAGGGATCACATTTTCAAGATATGAAAAAAAAATATAGTTCTCGACG